TCACTATTATTCTCCTCTTGCGAAGGGTGTCCGACGTTGTTATTTTCAAAAACTTCATCATGTTTTAGTTTTCCTTCTCGAATTTGCATAAGAAGATGGATCATATCGTGCCTAAGTATATTATTTTCATCTCGTATTCTCATTGTGTTAAGCACCAAGTTTCGGTAAAAATTTTGAATATGTGTTCTAAACATCTTAATGCTAAGAAACTATTTTTTTATAAATATATCAAATTATTAAAACCTCGTATTAGGAATATAATTCAAACGCTTTACCTTCATAAGTTTTGGAAACGAAGTATACCCTAGTATCTTTAATGCTTGTATTCCATTAAATCTGGATATTTCTTCTGCCAATGAATAAAATTCATTATTTGGAGTTTTAAAAGAATCTACTTTGATGCCAAAAGCAGTTGAAGCAATGACGTCGCTGGAAAACCGCGTGAATAAATCCTTAACTTCCAATGTCGGATCTAACATATAATGACGAAAAAATGGAATAATTTGTGGAAGGTACTTCAATAATAAATAATATTAATGAAATGTGTATAAAAAAACATAGGATTCATGTGATTCTTATGATAAATACCACGTTTCTAAAAGCTTCGAACATATAGTAATTTATTTATTTAATATTTCATATTATCCCAGGTCATTTGATATTTCAACATCACTATAAAAACTTGATGTCACCTTCTTCATGAATAAGAAAAATGATATTACCAGTGAATGAATCTTATACTTATGATACCGCCAACATGATACTTATTATATTATATATTTACATATTTATTAGTATACAAGCTTTACATGTGACAAGGTTATATTCAATCATATAATTTAATTAAAAATGTTATTTGATTAATATGTATCAGAATATAATGTCAATATATGTTTTCAATGCTTTATTAACTTCCCGTGAGGTAAGTTTATAAAGCAACAAAATCGAAAATAAACATTTTTATATATTCTTACGTTTCAGAGGCTTCTGAAAATTTTGTCATTTTTTTGAAAAAATTGTATGTGTGTGTGAGCGTGCGGATACAAATTTTCGTCGACGATTTTGGAAACACGGATCAACCGATTTGAATAATTAAAAAAACATTTGATTCGTATTGATAAGGAGACATGCTGATTAGTTTTTGGCAAACAAAAAGTTTCAGTTCAGAAAAACATTCCGTTTTTTGTGAGAACGGAGCATCCGAATTGAATAATTCAGAAAAACATTTTATTTGTATAAACTAAACGAAGAACTGTTCAAATTTTAGGAAAAGGCAGATTTAGCGGTTACAAAACTTTAAAAGAATTGTTTGTGTAGACGGTGTGAAAAAAATGCGTTCACAAAAAATTTCTTAATTTTGAAAATTAAAAAAAAAAATGTCCGAAATTTTTCATAATTTTCGAGAAAAATCTGAAATTTAAAAACGTTCAAGAAATATCATGATTAAAAAAAAATATTTCTTAAACAATTCTAGGATATTTCGAAATTTTCAAAAAAAAAAAAACGATTTTCTTCAGATATTCCAAAAAAAATCTAACTTTTAAGAAATTTTCAAAATTTTGAAAAAAAAAGTAAAAATTACTAAAAGAATCAAATTTTAAAAAATATTCTATCAAATTTCTTGTAAACATACACATAAATTGTTTCGAAAATACGTTTGTCGCCCAATTCAATAAGCACTTTTAATTTCTAATAATTCTATTTAAAAATATTTAAAACAATCGTAATTGATTATTGAATAATTTTAATTGATCATTGTATATTTTTATTCCTCGAATGTTTAATTACGGTACGCGAAGTTTCAGCAATTTGCCTAAAGGCACGATGCCATGCACCACTAATCTATTCATTTGATTGACTTGACGCACATATTTAATTCAGAAATATAAGACTTTAATATTAGTATAAACAATTTTTCAAAAATTTGCATTGAGGAGTTAGTAGGAACATACTACGCCGCAAATAATTGTTTCAATCCGGTTATGGAAAGGAAACATATACAGTATTTAGCACGTGTTTCAATTTACAATACACTGAATATGGAATCGGAATGTCTTTAAAGATTTTGTTGAAGTCGTTGAGTTATATCGTTTATTACCTTTATCTACAAGAGCATATAAGTGCTGTACCAGATTCTCAGCACAATCAGTAATTAGATCGAACATCTTTTTTATTTTGCTCCCAGTAAACGCTGGACTCAAAGTCGAACGCATTTTCCGCCACTTTTGACCTTTCAGTGTCAATAAATTTCTTCCAAATAAAGGTTCAATGTTTCCATCAACTTGCAGCATATGGTCCATAAAATGATCAAAATCTTTTACAGTAATTTGTTTAATAAGCTCCAGATCATTCACGACAACGATCGGACTGAAAAACGCAAATACACCAAAAAACCTAAAGGTACAAAAAGTAATTATTTTTTGTGTTTTATTATGTGCTATAATTTACATATTTGAACTAAAACTGTATATAAAATTACTTACTTTTGATCTGAAAATTGTTTATATGCGTTAATTACGAAATCCGCCGTAGACATTCGGTAGGTAATAAGAGGCAACATATTACCAAGCCAAGGCAAAGGTTTGATATGTGGCACTCCTAACTTTTGAAAATATTTATGATTCCATGTTCCAATGTAGTATAATGACATCAACGCAATTATACAAATCAACGGAATAATAAAAAAACATGTCTATTTGTATAATTTTGCGAATTAGATACAAATAATTATACAATAATATGTATAAAACATATCACATGTTTATTGAGACGCAAGACTTCCATAATTGAAATAAAAACGATACAACAAACAATAATCATTAAATGTTACACTTACTGTTCATTGTTGTAATAATCAATTATTCAAAATAATATATAATATATTATTAAACTTCACAATGATTCTAATATAATAAAGAATTACAATAATATAATTTAAAAATATTCATTTAATATAATTCGAAGTTTCACAACGAAGGCTTCTGCCTATTAACTGTTTGGGCATTCATCAAACTATCGTTGGGAATATAGTAATAATGTACGGAATAAATTATCATATGACCTTCAGAAATATGCTCCAAAACGACTAAAAGTTTTGCATTCATCTTTTTTTGTCGACTTCTAAATGACCTGTGGTACAAATAAACAATTCTGTGAATGCTAATGGTTTTTTTCTTCAATAAATAAATAAAACAAATATTATTAAAATATGCACATTTAATTTAACAGACAATATAAAAAAATACTAATGCTAGTTGATAACACTAATTCATGGGTTTCTTCTGCCTTAGTTTAAAATCTAACCAGAATCCACCTTTAGCTGTCGGATTTGCAGATGTTGTGCACAGCTTTAACGGTATTTGGGTTTTATAACAAGGCTCTAAGTCAAACGACTCCAGAATGTAAAATACAAGAGCTTTAACTTCCATTAAAGCAAATCTTGAACCTTTGAATAAAAAACAGTAAATAGACTCAATTAGAAAAACTTTCCCAAACATATGAAATCAATTCAATGTATTTAAACCAAATCCATATCGTAAACAACAGATAGGTAAGTTTATCACATTATCGCTGAGATTATTAACTTCCCGAAGGAGAAGTTTATGTTTTCATCAAAAAATTCGATTCGCTAATTTTATGTTTGCTCAACGTTTCAAGCCATTCTGAATCTCAAAAACGGCTGCACCAATTTCAAAAATTTAAAAGCCATACGATGCATCTCAATGAGGACTAGCGTTTATCAGTTTTGCGCGACGATCGTCCGAGCCGTTTCTTTATAAATCGCAGAAAAGTGAAAAATTTTTCGTCCACGTTATAGCCCGCAATTCTGAATCGATTTTAAAAATTCAAAAACCGTTAGAAAAGTTTTGGTTGGGAAAGATACTGATTAGTTTTTGGTAAAGATTCGCTGGCACGTTATCTTGTAATTAACTGTTGAAAAAATTTTTTTGATGATTTTTATGATTTTTTGTGGCGATTGATATCATGGTCTGCTAGATCATACTAAAATATTACGGCGCTATAATAACTAATTTAACTTTGAAAATTCGTCAAAGTTTGGAAAAATTGGTAATGTTATTTGCGTTTGTTTGTCAAAATTAGATCCTTTCATCCACGTTTTCTCAAAAACGGTCGAGTCGATTATAAAAATTTGAAAATCATTTAATGAAACTTGATAAGCACTTGCGTCGGTTAGATTTTTGATATAATTGAGCCATTTTTTTTGTAATTAGCAGAAAAGTGAAAAAAATTCAGTCCTCGTTTCAGCCAAAAATTTTGAACCGATTTTAAAAATTCAAAAACTATTCGAAAAATATTATTTGGGAGACGTGATGATTAGTTTTGGACAAAGATCAGTCGTAATTAACTGTTGAAAAAAAATTTTGTTATGAAACTTTTTATGTCAATAGATATCATGATTCTAAACAACATACTAAAATTTTACGATTCTACGGCAAGTAGTTTAATTTTAAAAATTCATCAAAGTTTGAAAGAATATTAGTGTAATGTGTCAAATGTTGCTTTTGTGATGTGATGAGTCAAACATTATCAATTCATTAATATTTAAAATAATAAGCTACTAACTTTGCACTATAAAATTTAATTACAGATATCATAAATATGTCAGAGATATCAGTTGGAAATTATGTTTAGATTCAATTGAAAGCGAAAACTTTATTTTCGAAATAAACAGTTGAAAATTTTATCTAAATATCTAAATTACATTTTCGATTGATTAAGTCAATTCTTAAACATTTTGGCAAGTTCATGCAACTTGCCTTACGGCAAAACGCCACTTGCAAATAGTTTTATTTTTTTTCTAAAATTAAACAAAATCCCTAGCTGATTATACTTAAGTATTATGATTTCATATTAATTTAATATAGTCAAAATATGACATGTATGCATTGTGTAAAACTCATTTCAATTTTAGAAGAGTCATACTAAAGTTTATTATCAGTTTCGTTTCTTAAATTAATAAATAAGTTACCTATACAATTTCTTGGTCCTGCTCCGAAAGGAAGGTAAGCATAAGGGTCGATGCTGCTTTTATTTGAATCAGAGAACCTTTCCGGATCAAATGTATCTGGATTCGGATAATATTTGGGATTTCTATGAATTCCTGACACAGCCACCCATACACCATCTCCAGGTTTCAGCTGTTTATATTTATATAAATAAAAATTATATTTATTAAGTTGGCAAGAAAGTAACTCCGTTAACATAAATTATTTAAAAATTATAAAAATAGTTAGCTTTAATCAATTACATATTTTCCTTTTTGTGCAATAAGATTTTGTCGATTTGGTACCCTTCTAATAAACTGTAACAACTGGTTCAGTTCATGATTACTAGGTAAAGATAATAATTCAAATAATTTAACACATAAAGAAATAAATTAGCATCATATGTCCCAAGGCTTCCAAAGTAACTGAGGAAGATGCCACATCAGTTTCCAGCCAAATTGCAAAAATTTCCTAGATGATACGAAAAGTTACTAAAAAAATATCAGGCCCGTTAGATAAATTCTAATAATAAAATAATTAGAATATAGATAGATTAACTGATATAGATAGATAAATAAATACATAAGGAGAGATTCGAGTCCAATACCTTATAGGACTGAAGTTCTGATTGCTATTAAATATGAGTATGAAAAAAGCCAAATAAGTGTGAAACTTCACATTATTATTATGGAATACATTTCTTCTGTAATTAGTCAATTCTTGTCATTTTTCTCTTTCTAAATTTCCCATCATTTTCATTTCTAGTGATCATTGACTTAAGAAATGTTTCGAGTTTATTACGTTTGTATAGAATATTGCAAATAATGATTTAAATAAATTACATGCTATATCCCAATAATCAGCTTTTCAATGGATTTAAGATATTTTACGAAACCTTCAATTATTTTGTGCAATGCATTTATCTTCTCAACTTTCACACAATCGAGATCCTTGTTTAACAATGGCTTTCGTTTAGTCATCATCAATTTTCGTTTAGTCATCATCAATTTTCGTTGGTCACCATTTAGTTAAAAATCTCAGCATTTAGTGAATGAAAATTTTAAATCATTTCTGACATGTGTGCTTTGACAGTAATATTCCTCTTTGCAATCGTTATATATAACAAATATAAATGTGTGTGTATAGATAATTATAAATAATATACAAAAATATACATACATCAATCTTAACGTTATTATCTTCATCTACTATTGTATATGGTTTTACACACATTCTGTCCAAGAAGATACCAGGTGGCCAAAGCCTAAGAGTTTCTGGTGACAATGAAATAAATCAATTAAATATGTATATCATTATGTATCATCATAACAAATAAAGGCAGGTGGATGAGACTATTTACTAAGTGTTTAAAAATCTGATAAACATCAAGAAATAGTTTAGCGATTCCATTTCGATGAAATAGATGTCGAAATTAAATTAGTTCCCAAAGATGGTACAATTATACAAATGATAAGTACTTAAAACCTTGCATTTGTTTTAACACTATCTAACAATTTATGTAAATTACACAACTGCACACACAAGATGTTTTTCTTCTACATAATAGATGAAGTATTATTACAATAATAACATATTCCACTTATATTGAAGTAATTATAAGTTTGCTTACCAGAAATTACCATATCTAAGTACTTCATGCTTTGGATCACCTCATAAGTGATCTTATTGTTATTGCTTCTGACTTGATCGATTTCTGTTTGCAGTTTTTTCTGAATTTCTGGCTGAAGAGCAAGTTCGTGGCACACAAAACACATTAAAGTTGAACTAGTTTCGAAACCGGCAAAGAGGAATATTACTGCCTGTGCTGTCAAGTCATCATCTTCCCAGTGTGCTATTTTAAATATAAATTTAATGGATAATTTTTATATTTATACTAATAATTGAAATCGTAGTATATGAAATAAAATGATTTTGAAGAAGATTGAATGTAGCATACAGTTTCCAGAAGTTGATTGCGTATTCATGTATCACAAAATATTGATATTAGTAATGAAACATGAAGTATAAAAAAGATTTCACTATTTCATCTCATGGACATTGAATAAAAACAATCTATTGTTTATATATTGGGTTCTTTAAATTGGTCTTTTGAAATCAGCAAATTTTTCTTTGTTTTTTTTTTGAAGCAATATTAATATAAACTCCAAAAATCATCCAAGGATTAATTTATAATTTATAATATAACCTATTGTACAAATATATAAAAATGTATTACAAATTTTATCGTTTACAAATTACTAGATGTCATGTTTCTATTCTTTGTGTTTAATTCATTAATTTATAAACGATCAGAATTTTTATACATTTATATATATTTACAAAATAGTTTATTTTATTAAATAAATTTCCGAAAGCGAAGTTATAATATAACAAAGTCGTATCAATTATTAAAGCTTTTACCATTACAGCTTCAGTTAGTCCACAGATCGCACTCATATTTTTTTGGCAAAATTAAATTGTTAGTAAAATTATAAGTTAAAACAACTAAGTGAAAATGCAGTCAACCCTGCTATAACGCGGCAATATAGAGATGCAGTTTCCATACTACGTACATCTGAAATTACGGCTATAATACGGTATTCGTAAAGCGAAGTTTCTGTACAATAACCATTTATTTATCTATACTTATTTATCTATGACAATAGCCTCTGTTATCGTTCCGCGCCATCTACGAATAACTCTAGTAATTAGATATTGTAAATGGTTTTAACTTATTTTCCACTACATTGCCTTATTTTTGAATATCGAACACAGTTTTTTAGTTTAGTTTTCAGTTCATTGTTATTATCGTATACTTATATGAATTCTACAATAAAATAATTTATATATTCTTTATCTTATCCTTATATGAAGTCTTCCAGACAACAACTTACAATTTAGCTTACCTTATGTGTTTATTTATTTCATGAACTTCCCGAAGGGTAAGGACAAAAAAATTTTTTAGCATATCTAAGTTTTACGGTCTTCTAAGCATTTTGGTCAATTTTTTCCAAAAATTTGAAAACCTCAAAAATCCAGGGAAGTTCCAGCAATTTGCCTTAAGGCACGATGCCATGCACCAGCAGTTTAAGTCCCCATATAACGTAGTACAAAAGATGCGTGTTGTACTATTTTTGAGTTACTTATAGCGCGGTTCCCATAAAACGCGTTCCAGCAGAACGCCAGTTTCCATACGTTGCGCTACAAATTAGCCTGGTTTGTACGTTAAATTTATAATCAGTGCGATTTCCATACTACACGCTACGCACTCATACATACTCACTAATAAATCATCACAATTAGCACTTTGTTTACCAGCTATTGACATTTCTATATTTTTGCAACAGAAGAATTGGTGGGTCTCATAAGCGAGAGAAACAGTTTTGCCATACTGACTTAGCCATAGATAAATAAGCATAAGGACTTATAAATTTGCAATTGCACTTTATTGTAGCCAACGGAGAAAACAAAAGCGATGTGAAAAAATTACAAGTTTATACGTGATTTGGTCAGCAAAATTCGGCCATAATAGCACGAGATAGCTCGTGACCGGTCATCAAAACATGGGCAACCACTAGATTGGCTTAAAAAGCTTCGTAGTAGAAAAAAAATTCATCTCAACAGCTCGTGAGAAACGAAAATATACTAAAACTCAACCAAAAAAAGCAAATAATTATCAGTTCTGAACTTCTCATTGTTTAGGTAAGAATGCATAGTAGTAAAATAAACATTACTTATATTGTTGGAAGATTTTCCAATCTCCGATTCCGTGACTGTAGCGAAACCAGCATCTTTAGTGTCAACGACTTCTTCATGTTTTAGTGTTCCTTGCCGAACTTGCATCAGTAAATGAATCATATCTGGTCGAACAATGTTTTGTTCATCACGCTGCTTCATAGTGTCCATTACCAAGTTACGATAAAACTTTTGAATTCTTGGGCCAAACATTTGAATATTTAGAAACTGAAATTATAGTTTATATTTAAATAAATGTCTGAAATTTTAAGTTTTATGAACGAATACAGATTGTTTATAAGACAGTTTTAAAATAAATCCATATTTTTGAAAATGTAGTATTTTTTTATTATTAATAATTTAAAAAAAAGAAATTTTGAGTATTTAAATTTTATTCGTCGCGACGATTAGAATTAGCAGATAAGTGCAAAATTTAGCCAAAAAATTGAACTAATTTTAAAAATTCAAAAACTGTTCGAATGCTATTTGTTGGGTATTGTGCCAAGTAGTTGATACATCTGCCATTTTATTTCTTCGTAATTAATTGTTGATCGTTTCTATTGTTGCAACAAAAAATGAATTTGATAAAATGATCCACTTTTATATATTTGATATCTCGGCCAAATGATGAGGCGGACGGTTTAAAAATTGCAATACCGTTTTTTAAAAACCTAGATTATACTGGCGTATATTTTTTTAAATGTATATTTTAGAGTGGGGCGGTTTCTGTTTGTAAAGATGACAATAATTAACTACTTGGGTAACAAAACGGTAAATGTAGTGATTCTATGAACAAAACGTTACATGTAAAACTATTTTAAAAATCTTTCATCATTTTTAGTATACAGCATATATTTATGTATATTCATATGTGTGTGTGTTCAAATAGTATGTTCAAGTATTTATTCCTCATTATATAGAATAAGGGCACTTACTTTCATTAATTTCGGAAAAGCTGTGAAACCAAAAAATTTAAGTGCTTGTATTCCACGAAACAAGGATATTTCTTTTGTCATTACATAAAACTCATTGTTCGGCTCTCTCAGAGAATCCACCTTCAGTCCAAAAGCTGCTGATGCAATGACATCATTCGCATATCTAGTGAACAAGTCTTTCATTTCTATTGTTCGATCTGCAATATTTCAACAAATTTACTTTTCAAAAGCTTCGAATTGTTACTTTTGAAACAATATAATAATTGAAGTGTCCAAAATACTGCTCTACTAAAAGTGTAATAGCGTATGTCATATTATGCAGAAAGAATAAAAAAGAAACGATTCTTCAATAATTCATAAGCAAAAGCTAAGAGAGCATTGCTAAAGTTGATGTTCGAGTATATCCACGGCAGACAATTGGTTATTTAATTACGGTAATAATTATATTTTATAAAACTGAAACTAACTGAGCAAGAAGAAAACAAATATATAATTGGTGTTCGAAAACAGATCTGTCATCACTATGACTGAGATTATGAACCAATATTCAAAATATTGGCTCCCAAATGACAGTAAACGAGGTACGAAATCGCAAGAATCTCCAGCATTTTGTGTAAACTGAAGAAGCTCACACAGAAAACTACAAAGGTTGTTCTGCCCATAAGAATTGACTACAAAACAAATCTAAAAATGATTCCTACAACAAAAATGGGTCGAAACAATCATACAATTTTCCTATAAAGATCAAAACTGCAGCCACTCCACAACGATTTGGTAGACTAACAAACACGGAGCACATGTCATATTCTCAAGCCATGAAATCCAATAGAAGCGAAAGCACAAATATAGAAAATAACAACTCTGCGAATAATGAATTTTATCAATTCTTCACTGAATTTAAAAACATGTTAACACGGGAACTATGCCTCTTAAAAACTCATCGGAAGTTGACTGTGCTATTGATAAATTTAATAAAACCCTTCATGATGCAGCTTTAGCTGCTACTCCAGAAACAACAGTTCAGCAGTATCAACTTCTGTCTTTTGAAATTAAAAATATGAAAGAAAAGCAAGACGCCATCGGATAAGAACACATACAATAATTTAAACAATAAACTAAAATTCAGATTGAAAGAAATTTCAAACCAAAACTTCAACAATTACGTATCAAAACTAAATAGATTTGATAACTCAATTTGGAACCAATTAAAAACAAATTAAAACCACATTCAAAATCCGCCTGTTAGAAGGGATGACGGCAATCATCTATCTTGGGCTAGGTGTGATGCAAAAGAAGCAAATTTATTTGCTCATTATTTAAGTAAAGTTTACAAACAGAACCCAGATTACTCTAACGCAGCAGGTCTTAGCTCAAATATAATTCCTTTTCAGAACTCAATGAACAACAGCATAAAGTTCTTTTCATTAAAGATAATAATCGAAGAGATTAGTAAACTGAAAAATAATAAACCTCCAGGTTATGATTTAGTGACGTCAAAAATGTTGAAAGAACTGCCAAAGTAAGGATTCATCCTTCTAACGTATATATTCAACTCAACAATAAGATTAAATTATTGGCCAATTCTTTATAAAACATCTGTAGTAAAAATGATCCATAAAAGCGGAAAAGATCCTAATATGGTTACCTCATATAGACCAATCAGCCTTCTTATATACCCTCTTTACTAGTGATTTTCCAACTTTTCAATGAACCACAACAGCTACATTTGCTGATGACATAGCAGTTCTTTCGACACATGCTGATGCATCTAAGGCTTTGCTAACTTTACAAAGGCATCTAAATGTTATAGAGGATTGGACAAAAAAATAGTGAATAAAAATAAATGAGAGCAAGTCTAAGCATATAACATTTACACTGAACAAGACAACATGCCTAGGAGTACATTTTTATGGTCAAGCAATTCCAAGCACTGAATGTGTCAAATACCTAGGTGTGTATTTAAATTGCAGGTTGACGTGGAAGAAGGATTCGCGGAAATTAAATACTATAAAAATTTGAACCCCTGAACTATAGTGGCTACTGGGACGCAAGTCAATTCTATCTATTGAAAATAAACTTCTAATTTACAAGCTAGTAATAAAGCCAATATGGTCTTATGGCATAGAATTGTGGGGCTGCGCGAGCAGTTCCAACATAGTGCTAATGCAACATGCCCAATCGAAAATATTAAGACAGATTACTGATGCTTCGTGGTTTGTTAGCAATAAAACCTTACACAATGATCTACATATTGAATTTATAAAGAATTATACAAATAAACAGTGTAAAACATTTTTATAAACTACAAACTATATTGTCACTCAGCTTTTCGAGACACCAGCTTCAATAAGACTGAAGAAGAAGCTATCTAAAGATGGAGGACCCTTAGAACTATCACAACTTTATAACTTTATATGAACAGAATAGTAGAATCACTTATTGAAGTGATTCTCTAACTAACAATGTAATTTTTATCGGATGCGAGTGAATGACATAAGCCAAATAGCTCATAAAAATGTCATGTATTCTGATTGCTATTAAAAATAGAATTAAAAAATAAAAAATAAAATAAATACAATTTTGAAAATGATTCAAACTTTGACAGAAGTTTAAAAGCAGGACAAGGCACTATAGATGCTTTATCTACTACATATTAACAACTTCTAAAAGAACACAAGACAAGAAATGTATTCGTATTCGTATTCGTATTATTGTTAAACGATGGCCATCGTCTTATATTTGCATTTGTATGTAATATTTTGAAAATGTTGCAAAATATATGTAAATAATATGTAGTTATGCTTTAACGCAATAAGCGAATATTGTTCAGCATATCACATTTTTGCTTATTATTAGAATAAGATTATTTCAATAAAATAATAAAAGCTTATATTACCTTTTGACTCTAAAGAATTCAAGTATTTAATGAGCTCTTCTGCACATTCCGTGACTAAAACAAACATATTTCGCATTTTGCTTCCAGTAAATGCAGGACTTAGAGTAGCTCTCATTTCGCGCCACTTGTTTCCTTTGATTGAAACTAAATTTCTTCCAAACATTGGTTCCACATTAGGATCTATGGTAAATCGATGATCAATAAAATGATCGAAATCTTTCACGGTAATTTGTTTGATTAATTCAGGATCGTTCACAAGAACAATTGGATTTCTGAATTCATATACTCCAATAAATCTGAAATTAGTATATACTATTAAATAAATTTTGGATATATATATACATATAAATATATATAGTAAGATCAAAATCAACTACATATGTTGACTACATATTTTAGTAACTAATATCTAATTTGTTAACTTAATATAAATAATATAAATTATGAAACTGTGACAATCAGTTTACCATAGAAATATGCCATTCATCATTTTAACAAATATTAACATACAAATTTATACTACAGTAAAACAAAAACTGACAAAAGGTGTAAGTGGCACTTTGCTTTAAGGCAAGTTGCATAAGGTTTACCCGACATTTGTAAATAATTGACTTGATCAATAAAAAACCAACAGATTAATTTATGATTGATTTAAAAAAAAAAATAATTAACAGTAATATTAAAAAAAATAGCCCGACCATTCTTTGCCAGAAACTATTTAGCACCATTCTCAAATGATATCTTATAAGTTTCAAAATCGGTTCAGAATCTTTTATGAAAATGTGGGAAAAATTTTTTGCACTTTTCTGCTAATCCTTTGGAAACGGTTAAAAGACTAACCAAGGAAATTATTTATTAAGTTTTATAGACTTTTTGAAATCGCCTCAATCGATTTTAATAAAGCGTCGTCGAGAAATCAGAAATCGTCTCACATTCACATACACGCAAATACATATATGCAATACATATTATTTGGTCTTAAACAACTCAGAATGACTTGAAAGGTCGAAAACAAAATTAGCAATTCAAAGTTAAAAATAAATTAAAATTGTTTAATATAATACTAAAAAAAATAATATTATAATATATTAGCAGATAAAATAATAATATAAACCATAACTTATTTGTAAACAGAAAAATAAACTATGTGGATGTAAGTATGTAATTTGAATTCAGAATAGAATTAAAAGTGTTGAGTTATATTTGAAACAAAAAAATTGTTATCTCACATGATGATGCAAAAATAAAATTTAAATACTTTAAAACCTTACTTTCTATCAGGAAAGGCTTTATGTAAATTTGCAATAAAATCCATTAAAGACGTTTGTCTGAAAACGAATGAAGTCATGTTTCCAAGCCATGGTACTGGTTTCACGTAAGGTATTCCTAATTTTTCGAAGTACTTATAATTCCATGTCCCAGCAACATAAAGCAAAACTCCTAATATTAGGCCACCAACAACCAGTGCAAATATCATTGTAGCCTGCAAAATAAATTATTCAATTAGAATGTTAGATAACTTTTACATTTTAGATAAAAATTACTATTTGATTGTTTAAATTGTCTAATGACCATTAACATCAAAATGATTTGGATTTTTGCAGAAAATCTTGATTTATACACTTCTCCAGCATAAGATAAATAATTTTATGATAACAATTATCAAAATCAAATTTAAATTACGCAAAATCATCATTAATTCTATTTTTGTTGTGCTGATTTGCAATAATAGTAAATAGCATTTAAAATAAATTGTTTACTATACGCTATTGTGAGAACTGTATCAACGAATAAATTTAAAACACTCTTTGATGATATTCAAATGTCCCTTTTTCTTGACGTATTTTTACGCAAATACAAAATATATATATATATATATATATATATATATATATATATAATCATACGTCTTTTAAATAATCACACACATTTGTAGTGCATTAAAACACTTGTTTAATTGCGCCGTTTTTTGTTCTGACCACTGCGATCATAATTTAGAAGAATTGGTACACAACGTGATTTGTAAACGAATAAGTAAGTTTTGCCATTAAATTTTTTACAAAAATTTCTTTTATTATCTAGTTTAAAACTAGAATGTCAACGTACCATAACGAAGTATTGGTCACTTATCAAAGCATTTCTTATGACTGATCATTGAAAAAAAAAAACGTAGATCCTAATTCTGCCACAGACGTGCTTCTTGCTCATTATTTTTTATTTATTTTCATAAAAATAAATTTATTTTGAAATGATAGATCATAATATTGATAATTAAATTTGGTTTATTCATATTAATTTCTTTTGAAAAATAATTTTTTTCACGAATACCCACTCACTTATATGTTTTTATTGATCAATTTTCATGATTTATCTCATACGACTGATGCGCAATACAAACTATCATCACATATTTTGTTTTTATTATGTAACATATGTTCGTTCGAATAATATCTTCAATATTAATTGACTTTTATTGTGTGAGTTGTCTGTGCCAGCAGTGAGCAACATTTTTAAAGTTGTTTAATGAGAAACCTCATTTTTTGAGATGATCCCAAAAAAGACAGAGGAACTTGAAAAGTTCTTTGCGAAATGTTTAATTGTGTATAGTAAATAATTCTCTCGTGCAAAAAGAAAGGAGAAAAAATTATGCCGAAGACAGGAGAACATAATCCAAGGCAACATTCTTGATTAATCGAATAGTCAATACTAAAAACTATAAATTAAAAATAATAAAAAAAAATCTAGCTGTGGGCGGAATGTCCTAAGACAATTTGCAAAAACTTTTCGATGTGTGTTAATTATCGACTTAATTAACAAGAATTGAAATTTAGAAACTTTTGAAATGGCCCATTATCCCAATGTTTATTGGAATAATGGGCATATAACTTTTTGTAGGCCCATAATACTTTAAGATGTTCGTTAATATCATGAACTTTTACTTCAAATAACCATACAAAGTTCTACTAAAAACGTCAATACAACTAAATGTCCCGGCTGATTTTTATCTGAAACTAATCAGCACAAATTCATTAAAATCTTAAAATTGGTGCAGCCGTTTTTTTTAAGAAAATGTCAAATTTTGACTCATACAAACACATACACAGTTATTTCCATTTTAGTGTCAAACGATTCAGATAGACTTGAAACCTAAAATTAGTAGAGTGGCAAATCTTTTCCTTCGGCATTTATTAAATAAATGAATGATTAAATAAGTAAACTTAAATAAATAAAAGTTTGTGATAAAGATATAGCTAGCAATTGGCTTAAAAGCACTAGTATACCAAATTTTGCTGGTGTAAAGTTTCAAATGTTGAAAATATTAGATGTTTATGCAATTTCAGCCATTCAGTAAGAATTTTGAACAATTATCATCCAAAAAAAAGATTATTTAATGTGATTATTATTTTAAATAAAAGTTTTAAAAAAACTCGTAATACTAACAGTAATCATGAAAATTTAAAAATGTCAATTACATCTTATAATTAATCATGCAATAATATATGTATAAGAAGGTTATATACTTTTCGATATGACAGCTAATTTTATTTTTACCTTTTTTCAATTTAATTTAATTTTGTAAATACTCGCGACCCACAGGTTGGAAATCACAGCATTACGGTTTTCATGAGCGATGGTGTAGAATACTCTGCTATTCAATATCAATTTTAACAGCATATTAAATTCCAGACTAAAACAACAGGTTGCCGACCCCTGGTATACAGACACACAGGTACAAATTATGGATCTGTTGGAAGGCCACAATTAATCCAGTACAAGCCTACAGACTGACTCACATTATTTGGCCGTGGAAGGTCACAACATGGAACTCTATTCAAATAAAAACGACAAAAATAATTAGTCATGATTGAATTAATTATATAAAATTATATTGTCTCTTTAGTATCATTAGTTTATCTTATATTATCAAAAATTACAAAAAAAAAATCGAGGGCATTATCAATGCTTTAAACATCATTAGATAAGGAACGATTAATTGCGGTGTACTACAATGATTGTAATGCACAAATTGCAAAAAATTGCGCAAGATTTATAATAATTTTACTATACTTTAGATTGAAATTAGTAAGTTGATATATTACGTTTATCAAATATTTATAAGTTTACGCGTAATCATTACGGAACTCATATAAGCAAAATTATAATATGTACTTTATTTATAAGTTATTATTTTATTCATAAGTTTGCATAAATGGAACAATATAAAATACAAATGTAATGCATTGCACATGTGTTTGTTTTCTTTAGAACTAAGTTATCGTTAAAAAATATTCGGACAACCTGATATCATTCAGTATTCCGTTTTCTCTCGAAAATAGATAACTAGATGCAAGTGGCATTTTGCCTTAAGGTAAGTTAAATGAATTTTCCTATGTAAGCAAATAATCATGTTAATCAATAAGGACCAAGCTATTTAGATCAAAATTTCAACTGTTAATCTCGAAAACAAAGTTGCCACATCCACTAAAAGTTAATTAATTCAATTTCCAATTGATATCTTTCAATTAAATGTAATTGTATCAATTATGGTGCACCACGAACTGGCGCTTAGAACATACACGGTTCAGAATATATTTTTCCAAAATAAAATGTTTTTTATGATTAATCGCCTTTGATAAGACTTACAATATTTAAAAATATTTGTCGAGACCAGGTTCATGGCATTTATCTATCTCTACACAAAGTTTCATTAAAATAGTCAAAAAAGTAACAATTAATAAGGAATAAACGTAGCAGTCGATCTTCACCAAAGACTAATCAATACAATTCCCAACAGATATCTTTTCAACAGTTCTTCAATTTCAAATATTCCATTCAGGATCGATAATAAAAATGATAAAAGAAATTGCACTTTTTCGCTAATTCTATAAAAACAGCTTGACCGATCGTCTCGCAAAATTAATCAACGCGAGTTCTTATCGAGTTTTTCAAATGCTTTTTCAATTTGAAATCAATGCGAAATTCAAGAAAAAAATGCCGACGGAATGTCAAATTATGCCTTGCATACATACGAAGATACTTTTTGCAATTTTGGCTCAAGCAATTCGGAATGGCTGGAAACGTCGATAAAATTCTCCTTCTAAAACTTAAAAAATATATTTATAAATAAAAATAGCTTTATCGATTAATAGAAATATAAAAACGTTGAATAAAATAGAATAAAACATATCCCATCAAATTATATATGCCATGTTATAAAATTTAAAAAAACAAATGGAATTTTATCCATGTTGTTTCCATAATTTTGAATTGCGGACTATATTAAAGTTAATATTAAGTGCTGAAACTTCCAGAGAATTTTTTTTATCCTTTTGGAAGCATTTGGAGCAAAAAAAATCAATAAAAATCCTTGTTAAAGACAACCCTTATATATATATATATATATATATATATATATATATACTTTATGTATATTAGTAGAATAAGTATTAAAAATACAAGAAATTCCAAAATTAAAAAAAAAACACGAGTGTTTTATTTAATTTTGAAGAAAGTATTTCTGCTGTATGTCTATTGTCTATTTGTATTTATATAATCGAAATGAGTAAAATACGCGAATTTAGGCAATACTCTAGAACTAGATAGATTAACAATTTCCGTTTTTTCTTATCTGAAATTTACTAAGTAATCTAAAATAAAAAATGCTGCTGCTAAATGCTAATTATTACCAGCTTATAATTTTCTATATTTTTTCTAAGCGGTGACGAATATTTGAGATTAATATAAAAGTTTAATCGGTCTAATAAGTAAAACTAAAATGGATTTATATGATATAAGTTATGTAATAAATGCGTTGAATTGAAAAGATTCATTTTAAAAAGAAGATTACCTTTACAAAATAATCAAAATAATTAATATTGCACACACATATGCTACGTACTTGATAACTTGACTACTGAATGCGCCAATAATAAAATTTGCTGAAAATATGTAACAAATACTAAAATAAATAATAATAAAATAAAATAAATATATGCAAAGTGTATTTAAAAACATATATACATTATAATCGTTTCAATGATGATGATGACGATGAACGGAGGTTCTTTGCGTATGAAATAAAATGTGACGTCATAATAATAAAATACTTAAATATAAAAGTATTATAAGTCTGTCGTAAAATATTTTATTTTTTATGTTTAGGACCTAGTTTGTGGCTTTCCTTGGCCTAAAGTATACCCAGAATCCTTTTTCGGCAGTCACGTTACCAGATTGAGCGCTCAGCTTAATCGGAATTTGCGTCTTCGCGCACGGCTCAATGGTAAAACTCGAAAGTATGAAAAACAATAATGCTTTAGCTTCCATCAAAGCGAATCTCGATCCTGTAAAAGTGAATATTAAAATTGAAACAGTACACATTTTTTAGTTACTTTTCATCATCATCATACATTATCATCAGAGTCGAGTAAAATCGCGTATCCTGCACTCTTGGCTTTTCAAGTTTAAGATTTATTTTCGTGTAGTTTTTCGCAAAAAGGTATTATACGCAATTGGTTTTTAATGATAAAATTGTGTTATTCTAATACCCCGTAGGGTAAGTTATAGTAAACGCAAAAACCGAAAATAGTAACTTTTATATATCTTACCTTAGAAAAAATGGATGTATATGTGTGTGTAAAAAATATATTACTCGTATCAACAAAATAAGTAACTGGTTAATTTTTTGAAAAGGCAGGTCCAGCGGTTTCCGAGATTCAATAAAAACGTAAAAAAGATGCCATTTGGCAGTTAAAAATGATCATTAGACATATGCACAAGAAATTATCAGATATTACACAGAGATTTTAATAATAAGTACAAATTTTGCTTATATGATCGCTTATATGAACGAATATATATCCGTAATATTTATGCGTTAGACTGCGACACGACGCTTATGCGCTTCGATATATCGTCCCTAAACAGCTACACAGCACGATTGCTTTGAATAAAAGTTCAAAATTTAATAAATATAAAAGATGATTAAACATTTCAAAAAAGTCAATTTTTTTCAAAAATTTCAAAATTCTCAAAAGTATAGTTTTGTCAAATTATTCGGTACCGCAAGTTTCAGCAATTTGACTTAAGGCACGATGCCACGCACCACTAGTTTTTCTAATTTTTAACTTACTTGCAAATAATAGTACATGCTCACATCATTTTTAAAAACGAATATATTATTTTAAGAATTATTGCTATTTCTTATTATTTCGAGTTATTCTACAGTAGATTAATGTGAATGCTACGATGTTTATTGTTTTATTTTTAATAGACTTGAAAATTATTTATAAAATCACGAAAACTGCTTACATCGTAAAAAATATAAAATGCCAATTTTGTAATTAAATATTACATCAATACGAGTATAGATTGAAAAAAGGTCATCATCCGAGATATACCCATCATATTGTTATTTCTTGAAGTTTCGTATGCCATTTCAATTTATTTTTAAGTAGGTACATTTTAGAAAGATATCAGATAACAAAAATTAGTCATGTAGATTACACGTCAAGGTATGTTTTGAGCATTACATAGCATACAAAATTAGATCAATTAATCACATCCCACTCAGTTCGATTGTAGCAGCCGAGCGATTCACATCGAATAAATAAATCGTAAATAATTGCATAATGTCTTCCGAGTCGGATGGTCAGTGCGGCCGACCACCTGACCCAAACCTTTTTACCTGCCGCTCTGCGATTGGAGAGTCAACAGCAGATGCAAGAAACACTAGCTTAAATAGATTGAGTGACATGGATTTTTGTGATACTGAAAGTGTAATTAGTGTAGAAAATGAATCAGTTAGTAGTTGTGATTTGAACATTAAGAATAGTGTTAATGTTAATTATAAATATAATATCAACGATGTAAGTGCAGATAGTAATAAAAGGGAAACGTTAGAACAAAAGGAAAACAAAGGGGAAAACAGTAATTTAGCGTCAAATAATAGTGATACAACAATGGAAATAACAAAAGATCTAATAAGTGATAACAATATAAACGATCAAAATAAATCAGATGAAAGAGTTAATCCATTAAATAATTTGATACGTTTCGAAGGTTGCGATATGGGCCCTTACACTATATTTGTTGAATCCAAGGACAAAAATATAGGCCGACTACACCCGATGGCCTTGGGAAAAATCATACATAATGCAGGGGCATATTTCAAATTTGGTTTGACAGAAGTTTCGGTTATAGGAAAAAATAAAGTAAAGATGGAATTTAAAAGCGCCAGGGTGGCGAACAAAATTCTAGATGACAAAATTTTAGAAAAAAATAATCTGAAGGCATACATCCCAAAATACCTACTTGCAAGGCATGGCATAATATTTGATGTGGATGCGAATCTCTCAGAACAAGAAATTATAAACGCCATTGAAACGGACATTCCGGTTATAGACGTGGTATGTTTAAGACCGAAAAATAATAATACAATAAAATACTCATCACAATGTGTCAAATTAACGTTTAGGGGCACAAGTTTACCGAATAAGGTAGCTATACATTCGGTAAAATGTGAGGTTCGACCGTTTGTACAGAAAGTGGTCCAATGCTACAAATGCTGTCGATTCAATCACGTTAAGGACCAATGTAGAGGAAAAGAGAGATGTATGAATTGTTCCGGAGAACATAATGCGAAAATATGTATAGCATCCAAATTTCTATGTGCGTTGTGCAATGGGGATCACCCTGCAAATGATAAAGAATGCACGGTATTTATTAAAAATAAAAAAATTAAAGAAATTATGGCTTGGCAGAATCTAGCATACCATGAAGCCAGAAATATATTATATAAAGACAGCTATGCAAACAAGTCAAAAGCCGGATTCAGTTTCACGGGCAAAGATAAAGAATTTCCAGGTTTGTATGCAAAACCTGCATCTAGTACAGACAGCAAGATAACTAAAAATAGGTTCGACGCCCTTTCTGATTTAGAGGAGGAGGAGCAACCGGAATTTTTAAATCCGACAACCTTTCATAAACCTAAAAGAGCGACTTACAAAATTACCAAAAGCAATACTCCATTCAATTCTGGATCCTCAATAAAAAAACAGTCAGTGAAGGAACCTGTATCAAATAGAAATAACAAAACCGAATTTAACCTCAACCCAAGAAAAAGGTTAAAACCGAGCGTGGAACGTGAATCTGCAATAGTCGAAAATAATAGCAATGTTCAACAAGATGGTTCATTAAATTTCTTAAACGAATTCATTGAAAAAATTAAACATATATACATTCCTAGTAGCGCTGAACATTATAACCTGTTGTCAGAAATACTAAACAAAATGATGAGGTCCAAAGTTGGACCCGACAAACAAGTTTGATTTGGCTGTGAGCACAGTATATTACGTATGGAAGCCTAAAATTATTTAGTGATAATAACTTAAAAAAAAATAATAATAATAATAATGCTAAAAATTATTCAAATCAATATCAGATCTGTTTTTTCAAATAAGCTGCATCTAGAATCCTATTTAAACACCAACCATATAGATATCGTAATATTATCTGAAACATGGCTCAAAGATAATAATAGATTTCAGATATCTGGATACGCCTTTATATCAAAGAATAGGGAAGATGGTTATGGAGGAGTTGGAATACTTATCCACCGAAGATACCAATTTCAGACGTTAAATTTAAACAGTTTCATTACCAATAAAATTCAGATTTGTGGAATTAAGCTGGCCATACATAACATAACACTTAATATTGTGGCGATTTATTGTGCCCCCGGGCACAAGACAGGCACGGAATATTGGGTGTCGCTATTCCAGGAACTAAATCAACCGTTAATACTAGCAGGGGACTGTAATGCTCACCACATAAGTTTTGGAGGGTTAAAAAACAATAATGCAGGCATAAATCTTAGTGAAGCCATAAACTCAGAGGGTTTATGTCTTATGAATGACGGAACACCTACAATGATAAGAAGACACGATAGGAATCCTTCCGCGGTAGACTTAACAATATGCAGCCCATCAGTGATGATTAGGGCTGAATGGAGTGTATTAAATGAAACTCTAGGGTCTGATCATTTAGCAATTAGTATTAATGTTAAATTAGGCAATGATAATAAGTTTAAATACAATCATAGTCCAGTAAACAGATATCGGTGGAAAATTAAAGATGCAGATTGGTCAGGTTATGCGCAAACTGTAGACAGAATGTTGTCGAATACTAATCTCAACTCTAATCCGATGATTTCCTATTCCAAGTTTATTGAATGCATTAATAATGCAGCACTAATGAATATTCCAAAAACAAATCCGTATTTGGGTACGAAATATAGAAATAAATCAAATCCTTGGTGGGACGAGGAGTGCAACAAAGTGAAGAAAATAAAATCGGAAGCAATTAAGAAATACAAAGAAATACCAAACATAGACAATTATATAAAATACAAGCGAGCGGTAGCTAAGTGTCGATTTGTATTTAAAAAGAAAAAATACGATAAATGGACAGAGTTTTGTAACTCTTTCTCCAGAGACATGTCTTCACAACAAATCTGGCACCATATAAAGGTCGTGAAAAATGGAGCCACTCGAACCAATGCATTTCCTAATAACTTAGCTGATCAGTTTCTTAACTCACTTACTCCGGATACGGTAATTAATGACGTCAACATACAGGACATGGAAAAAAATGACGAATTAGAAAGTCAATTTACCATTGATGAATTACATTTGGCACTAAAAAGGAATAGTAATACTGCGCCGGGTAATGACAATATACATTACCCCATGCTAAGTAACCTATCAGATAAGGGAAAAAAAATTCTACTGAAGGTCTTCAACGACATCTGGACTAAAGAGATTGCTGTAAAAGACTGGAGGACATATATCACAATACCAGTTCTAAAGCCTAATAAGGATGCAACAAAAATAGAATCATATCGGCCGATTTCTCTAGCGTCATGCATGTCCAAAACATTCGAACGCTTAATGAAAAGAAGAATCGAGTGGTGGCTCGAGAATAAGAAGAAATTGCCAAATTACATGCAAGGTTTCAGAAACAAAAGAGGCACGTATGATGTTCTAACTAGTTTCGTCTATGAAATTCACAACAACCTGGCCAAGAAAAATTGTGTATTGACTATCAACTTGGATTTGGAGAACGCATACAACAGGGTTCAAATACCGATTTTAATAAACATTCTACATGAATTAAAACTCCCTAAAAGATTTATTGTTCACATTTATCACTTATTGAAAGATCGAAAATTAGTCCTCAGATGTAAAGATACACATTATGGGCCACGGTATATGTCGGAAGGCTTACCTCAGGGTTCTGTCCTTAGTCCCTTGTTGTTCAACGTATACACGGCACACCTTCAAAATGAAATTGGCCAGGACGCTCGGATCATGCAATATGCAGATGATCTAATATTATCACATAGTGGAGTGTCATTAAATGATGTGATCAAAAAAATGGATCAGACCATGACGTCATTTGGAAAATGGACCACATCACTGGGATTTTCAATCTCCGAGAATAAAAGTGCAGTATCGTTTTTCACCAGACAAAGGAATTCTATTGCGATGGAGTCAATAAAATTAGGTAGATACACCTTAAAAATACAAACTACCACAAAATGTCTGGGTTTGACTATAGATAACAAATTACGATGGGGTCCACATTTGGAAAATCTGTCAAGAAAATGTGAAGATGCATTAAATATCTTGAGAGTATTAAATCACATGATGTATGGCGCTGACGTGAAGGTTGCAATCAGGATATATAAACAGCTTATATTATCTAAACTTGATTATGGCTGCTTCATTTATGGGGATGCAAGTAAAAATCTACTACGCAAACTGGATACCCTGCAAAATAAAGCTATAAGGTATTGCCTGGGAGTTTTGCGTTCAACGCCCATTAACGCCTTACATGTGGAGGCACACATAATGCCTCTGCATTTGAGGAGGAAACTGTTAGCAACGAAATTCGTTATTGACAGAATAAGGTCCAACAACGTAGAGGTGATACAAAAAATTAGTAGTGCTAACAACTGTCAGAACAGACAATATTGGCAGAATAAGAAGAAACCTATACTTATGTCAGTGATCTCAGAAACTGAATACAAATGCAAGCCATTAGAAGAACAAAACAAAGCAACAAAATTCTACTTCAACTATGAAATCACGACTACAAACCTTCAAAATATCATACAGACGGAATTTTGTAATATATATAGCAGTCCAATTGATTGGGGGTATAGATTAGAAATTGAAGATAAAATTAAAAACACGTTTCCGGACTTCGAGGTTTTCTTCACAGATGGTTCAAAAGGTCCTGAGGGCGTAGGTGCTTGCATCTATCATCAGAACACTAACTTATATACTAAATATAAGTTAGATATAAATGCGTCGATTTATACAGCTGAAATGTACGCCATAAACAAATGTATTCGGAACATCGCCTCACTTAGCTTGGAGAAAGCCGTTGTATTCAGTGATAGCCGATCATCTTTAGAGAGCCTGCTATCTATAGGCAGGGACCCAAGTTTTTTAGTGTTAGATACTCTTAATCATATACATAACGTACTCTCGAAAAGAAAATCCGTTTACTTAATTTGGATCAAGAGTCATATTGGAGTAACAGGGAATGAAGCTGCTGACAAAGGAGCAAAAGATGCAATAAACACGGGTATAATCGTAGAAGATGGAATATCCCACCAAGATATCAAAAACCTCTTTAAGGCAAAGATATACAAGGAGTGGCAATTGGAATTCCAAGAGTCAAGTCGTGAAAAAGGACAGTTTTATGCAGCCATACAAGAACAAATTCCTGTCAGACCATGGTTCGACAAATTTACGAGGAGTCGTCATTTTTACTGCATTTTTAATCGTCTGAGAACCAATCACACCTTTACGCCTTTCCACTTGAATAGGATCGGAATTAACATCAATCCGTATTGTCATTGTCTTGGCGAAGCAAATAATGCAGATGCCAATCACCTAATTATGGAGTGTAGACATATGGAGGAAAAAAGAGAAAAACTATGGAATAAATTAACAAAACTGAGGATCCCACTTCCCACAAACCTGAGACTGATGTTGGCAGACACTGTAACTTATGATGCTATATACGAGTATATATGTGAAACTAGATTAATGGTATAGAGATTCAACATGTGTAATTAAAATTAGGTGTATATGTATATTGATGTGTCTTTGTGTATGTATATGCGTGTGTATGTATGTATGTATATATATGTATATATATATGTGTATGTGTATATATATATATATAGGTGTGTGAATGAGTATGTATGCATGTGGATTTATATATATATGTATATTAGTCTTAATTTTTGTAGATGTGAAATTCTGTAGACAATGGCCAATGTACAAGCTTACAAAGCCAATAAAAAATAAATAAAAAAAAAAAAAAAAAAATCACATCCCAACAATAAAAAAATGGGAAAAGACCTCATAACTAAATCAACTTTAGCTTCAGGTATGGATCTATTGAAAAAAGTTCTAAATTAAAAAATCACTAAAGAAGTTAATATATAGACCCATAAAGAATATAATGATTTCTGATTGCCTGAACAGATAAAAATTTTTTTTGTAAATGTGTAAGTAAGTTACCGATACAACTCCTTGGTCCAACTCCAAATGGCAAATAAGTAAATGGTTTAATATTCTGTTTATTTTCATCTGAAAATCTTTCCGGATCAAATTTTGTAGGATTTGGATAATATTTGGGATCGCGATGAATACCAGCTGCTCCAAACCAAACGCCATCGCCAGGTTTCAACTTTAAGAAAAAATCAAATCAAATCACAGAAATAACAGAAATATATAATAATATGACAAATAGTTAATTTTAATCGTTTAGTATATAATGTATATATATACATATATATATATATATATATATATATATATATATATATATATATCATAATATCATGCAATTGGCAAGTAAAAATTAACATTTCTCTCAATAAATGGTAAAGTATTACAAAATTTGCTCTTGGGGTAGGTTGAACGCGCGTCAAAATTATATTATAATATCATTTTAATTTTTATTATTTATACGTTTTCTCCTTAATTTTATTATTTTTATGTTTTTGCTATGAAGACTCATACCTCAATTCTAGCGTTTGTATCTGGATCAATTAGAGTGTATGGCTTAACACAAATCCTATCCATAAATCCAGCTGGTGTCCAATATCGTAAACCCTCTTTATCATAAAAAAGTTGAATATGTAATATAGTTATTATTAATAATTAGATTTTATACTATAATGTATTAAAATATGTACCTGATATAACCATATCCAAATATTTCATTTTCTGAATTATATCATAGGTGACTTTTTTATTTTCTGCTCGAACTTCGTCAATTTCATCTTGTAATTTTTTTTGAACGTCTGGATTTATAGCAAGTTCGTAACAAGTGAAACACATTAAAGTGGAACTTGTATCAAATCCAGCTACCAAGAATAGTACGGCTTGAGCTGCCAGATCATCGTCTTCCCAGACTATAATGGTAAAATATTTTATTTATTCATTTACGGAAAATATTTTATTATTTATTCATAAGCAAGCCGCAATCAATAAGAATAACTACTATTTCAAGCTTTTGTCAAGTTTATTGATGTATATTTGTGTGTGAAGTAGGAAAGACTGTGTACGTTTGTGACACTTCTTTTGTTCAGCCATATTTACGAAAAATAACCAAAATGGTAATTTGAACATTTGTTTTTATAAAAATGCTGAAATTCTTTCCTAAAGATAAAAGAATGATAAAGACATATATTTCAATAATTATAGATGTGTACATAACACTTCCGATTTTGTTCAAATTTCTACCCGCAGGTATATCATCCCTCATATCTGTTCTATCAATACAGTCATAATTATTTTAAATATAAAAGGTGTGATACAATTGTGTGACAATAAGGAGGAAAGGAAAATTTTCCTCAAAAAAAAATCACATAACATTTATAATAATATATGGTTAAACAAAAAAGAAATTCTATCCCTAAATACGATGGATCAGTTATATAATAAAATCATACAAGGAAAGGGCGAGTTATCACAACCACACCCCCAGGACAGTTGTGACAGGCATAAAATTAGGTTCAAAAACAATAGCTATAAATACAAAAATTTAAACAACAAAACTTATGAATATAATATAACATAATTTTTTAAACAAATCTTCGTGAAATGTTTTTTTTTTGTATTGAATTTTCTTTTCTCTTTCTCTTTCGTATTTTGTCTTACAATTGGTTAAGTTACATTTTTCTTTATCTGTTTACTCTTCACCCGAAAAGTAGAAGACCCACAACCACATGTCACAACCGTACCCAACGTACACTTTTAAAAACAAATCATCGTTATGACTGAGCAAAATTATCTACCAAAAACTAATTGCTATTAATAACTACCGATGTTCATAACATTAATTACTAAAGTAATTAACTACTAATGTTCAACTTACAGCAAACTAACAAACAAGATAATATATCCGAATACAAATAACAGTTATTAGTAAAAGAAATCGCAGAAAAAACTTTTGTTGATTCTATAAAAGCAATTCGGTCTACAGATTATGTTAATATAGGACGCAGACTTAATTCATTAATGGAAACATGTTCAAGCAAATATATGTACTACATATTTGCCCCTTTGGACCCTATTTCAAAATCACTAGGCGTTTATTAGGTAGTGACAACTGTCACTACCGTACCCTGGCACAATCGTACCTGGTCTCATCTACAATGAATTAGGAAGCTATTAAAATTATTTCGATCAAATATTTCATAATGTTATTTTTTAGGTTTAAAGTAACAACTATCATAACTTATTCCCAAAGAATAGCATTGGACATTCTTGAAAAAAAAAAAAAAAAAAAAACGTATTCGAGTCGGATGTATGAGAATTAAGAGGAATGTACATTGACATCTTATTATTAGGGCATTAATAAATGTCTTAAGATTATTTCTTATAGTATAATCAAGATATTTTTCCACATGATGAATTTGCGATCTTATCATTTTTTACAATATATTATTTATTAAACATACCTAAAGAATTAAAATATGTATAAAATAACTTCAACAATATTAGTTATTTCTGATGAAATAATCCACTTACTTCGATTATTAGTTGCTTTTCCTACGGTAGATTCTGTAACGGTAGCAAATCCTGCATCTTTAACGTCTGGTGTGTCTTCGTGCTTCAAAGTTCCCTTACGGACTTGCATCAGAAGCTGGATCATATCAGGCCTGGTAATGTTTTCTCGGTCTCGCATTTTCATTGTGTCTTGAACCAAGCCGCGGTAGAATTGCTGAATTTCAGGTCCAAACATTTGAACTTTGAACAACTGCAATAATAACAATAGTAATTGATATATACAACACATTCATTAATTTATAGATTATTTTGCTCTTGGGAAACATATTTTATTCAAACATGATGATATTAGTTATAAAAATACGCATTTCAATACGTGTACTATATAATTCTCAGAGATTAGATCTTTCTTAGATATTAGAACTATATTTTGTATTTTTAAACAAAGCGAGTAGTGTTTAGTATAGACATCATCAACATACCTTCATAAGTCTTGGAAATGAAGTATATCCAAAAAATTTGAACGCCCTCAAGCCGCCAAAATTGGAAATTTCTTTCGTCATTAAATAAAAATCATTATCTTTGTTTTTAAGAGAATCAACTTTCAGTCCAAAGGCACTTGAAGCAATGACATCGTTTGTGAAACGAGTGTAAAGATCCTTCAATTCCAAGGTGCGTTCTGAAAAAAAAAAACAAATTGAATTTATTGAACAAAAATTCAAGCAAAATAGTTCTGAAAAATTGATAAAAAGAAACTAAAAATTCAACTATCAAAACACTAATTGTTGAACATGCTATACATTTTAAAACAATTGAACAAGTACGTATAGCAAATTTGTAAATTAAAAAAGTAATTTTTAGTTATATTTTTCACTCCCAACTTTATCCGTAAAATAATCTTTTTTAATTATATATTAATATATTTTATATATAATATATATATATATATATATATATATATATGTATATATATAATTAATTTATTTATAAATAATAAAATATTTCATTAATTATTATATCTTACTTCTTAATACTTTAAAATATTTGACTACAATTTGAAATAGTATTTTGCTAATATAACTATTAATTAGTAATTTTTAGATTTTTTTTATCATACACCCCACATGGCAATCCTATAATTAAATTATTAAATTTTCACAAGTCATTCTTTTTCATTATACATCATTCACATTTTAGTGGATAAATACGAATACAATTTTCACGAAACGTCAGGAGTATATAATAATTAAAATAACTATAGAAATGTAATTCTTAGAGCATTGTTTTCATAGTCGATTTACGTTTTTGTTTGCGATCATATAATTAACCTTTCACTACGAGAGGATTAATCATTATTAATTAAAATGTATTTAAAAATTAAAAATTACATTAGGTAAATAAAAACCACAATAAATATTAAAATGCATTTTATGTCGTCTACAGACGACGCTCGTACACAGAGATAGTCAGGCGTAGGTGGCTAACAGGCGACTCTCGTAGCAATAGGATTAAATTAATGAATAGCAAATTTCACAATTAATTTTTCATCATTATACTTCATCTTATTTATTGTAGATTTACAAATATAATGTTTACGAAACGCCAGAAACATATTGCTATCAAGTTATTTAACTTTAGTCACTTTTTTAATATTAGACTTAAGGGGGGAGCCTGCTTTAGAGGTTTCAGAAAATCGATTTTTTATTTGCAAAAATATTCTCTCCTATCCAAAAATATATCCCTAAAATTTCAGTAACAAATTCAAAATATTTTCGGAGTTACAGAATAAATAGTGAGCATGTATACGAGCGGAACGAAAACTTCGATGCGCTATTTCTCTTTTTTTTTCGATTTTTTCCAATTAGCGGGATAAATAGGGAAAAAGTTAAACGTCCTATCAAAACGAGACAAAATTGATTGCATTCAGGACTAAATTCTCTTCTAGTTGAACCCAAAAAACCTTAAAAGAAAGCTACCCACTTTTTAAACAATCTTAAATGATTTTTTTACATTTTTTTTAATTGCGAAAAATTGTTGAATTTCTCACTCTATTTTAGACTTTTTAGGATTAACTAGAATTTATACAATTGAAAATATAAATTTGTTTTGGTTTTTTATTTGTTTCGGATGAAAAATGCGACCTGCATCTTTTCCACCGCATGTACCCGGCATGTTATGTCATATATTTTAATGAAAAAATTTGAAAGAAATGTTGAAATACATAACAATAAAACCTAAAAGTTTTGTTTCAATTAAATATTTGTTTCCGCCTCAAAAATTCTTAAAAAAATGATTTTTTGAAGCTTCTAAAGCAGACTACCCCCAAGAAAGTGTTTTGTAAATTTGTAAATTGCAGAGTGATTTAACCATGGTAAGAATAAATTACATTGTTATTGTTATGGCATGTGTAGGAGTACGTAACATATATCGATATGGATATTTTTAAGATATGTCTCACCTGACTCATTAAGCGTTTCCAAATATTTAACCAAATCTTCGGCACATTCGGTCACCAAACCGAACATGCTTCTCATTTTGCTCCCGGTAAAAGCGGGACTGAGCGTGGCTCGCATGTCCCGCCACTTTTGTCCTTGCAAGGAGAACAAATTCCTTCCAAACATAGGCTCGATAACTTCATCGATTTTCACTCGATGGTCCAAAAAATGATCGAAATCTTTCACACCTATCTGTTTAATAATATCTGGATCACGGATGAGCACAACTGGGTTGCGAAATTCAAAAATACCACATATTCTAGAAACAACAGACAATAAAATAATAAACACATATATATATAGAGTAGGGCGGAGCACAAAGATCCAATTTGACTTTGAGCTATAATATTGTGAGAAACAAACCAATTATTTAACAACAAATAACATATCAAACCAACTATATCAGATAATTGTTTATCCTGGTCCTTCTTACCCCATAGATGAGATAAAATGAGACGGCTACGAAGTAAACAAGTTCAATGTCTTATTTTGAATTTTTAAGGGATTTATAGCTATAAGAGCTATATTATTTAACCAATGCAAATTATAAATTTTATGGGTACATTTATTAACAGAGGTACTCTATATAACCTTGATTTGATATATAACCGCTATTAATATTCATAATCGGAAGAGTTAAAAGAACTATTTATTTAATTTATCTCTTGTGAAATTGCTTCTTTAACATAATTTACTTTTTTATTGGCTATTTTTGATTGTTTGCACCTTTGCCAGGGTAATAGCTCAGTTGGTCTTTTTTATCCCACCCACGTGCAAGCTTTTATATAGGGTACCAATGTCTGCAAAGCTTAACAACAGTACTCACAACCAAAAAAACTAACAATAAAAGAAAATACTTTTGATGTGGATTTTCAAACATTGCCATTTATATCCTGATAGCGACATCGTAAGAATCAAGGTAATGGCTGGTGGTTCTGCATATTTTTCCCTCTACTTTCAAATATTGCTGCTATAAAATTCTAAACTTTAGTTGTTTTTTGAGATACCGGTGGTGGACCTTGCTTGTTTTCTTCGTCATTCGAGCAAAATTCGAGAAACGAGCCGCCAAAAGAGCGATTCGGTGTTTCGTCATACAAGCAAGATTCGAGATACGTGCGAGAGAGAGTCATAGGATAAAATTATGGAATGAACTTATGAATAAACTTAGCGAATGAAACAGGTTCTTCTAATATTAAATGTAACAATAATTTTTATATATAAAGTAAACTAAAATACAAATATTTAAAATAAATCATTTTAAAGTTGAAAAATTCAATTCATTAATATTAATGTTATGCAATTGTTCGTGCAATGCATTTTTAGTTAAATTGATAGTAAAAATAATATTCAAAATAAATATTCAAGATCATATTACAGATATATAACTTACTTGCTATCAGGAAACTTGTTATATAAATCAACCAGCATGTCCAATAAAGAATTTTGTTTGAAGACAAATGGAGCCATGTTCCCGATCCATGGAAGTGGTTTTGCAAAAGGAATACCTAATTTTGCAAAATAGTTGTGGTTTGATACCCCCAAAAAATATAATAAAACGACAATCACGGCCAGATAAACTAGCCATGTTAAGGCGACTGACATCTTGGTAGATTCCTGCAACACATTTAATTATTATTGGCATCTCATTGTAGAAATATTATTGACAACAAATTTGTATTTTTATTGACACAACATTGAATAAATTAGCGGTCAATTAAATTGACGTTTGCAGATTAAATATTATCAGTTATAAATAACTAAAAACTCAAATTGTCATGCATATTGTATTGAAAAAAAAAATTTCATTCATTTATTTATCTAAATCATTAACATGCAAGTTGTAACATCGGTTACAAATGAAATAAAATATTAAAACATGCGATTTCACGAATATTGAAATGATCAACAACTAATTCGCGAATTGACGACTGCGCATTTATTTTATTTTATGTAACTCTTAAACTATTCATCTGATATTTATAAAATATTTATCATAATATTATCAAAATCTATAATATTATTCAATGTGATTTTATTTTCCATAAGAATCTTGATATTAATTTTATACGCGTAAACAACGCAATAGAGTAGAAAACTGAAGATTAATTTCAGAGTGCTAAACAGTTCATTATATAAATATATATATATATATATATATATATATATATATATTTAATATATGAATAAAAATATAAATATAGAATACATATGTTAATACCAAATATTTTATATTATATATTATTACCAAAAAATAAACTATATATATATTCCATGGGTATAAAATAATCTTTTTAAAAATAATTATATTCATATGCTGTAATAACATATAAAAATAGACATTTTTTGGAAAAAAGTTTATGGCTAATAGTGATTAAAGATGTTAATAATATGCAAAAATATAAATTGAACAAAATTATTTTTAAATATCTTTAATTTGAAATTTTGATTCAAAACTTTAGTCCAAATGCTATTCTTTATATAATATCTAATTTCAAAAATTTTCAAAAATAAATCATTTCACAAAATCTTATTATTATGCAGTACTCTTTAACTATATTGTTTATATTATGCAGTAAATACATGTATTTAAAAATTATTATTGCAGAAACATTATATATTATACAAGTACAATAATGATTACTTATGATAATTTGCAAATACACTTCTAAAAATAACAAAATTTCGAAAATTTCGTAAAACTAAGTCAATTCGCAGATCCTATTATATAGTAGGTTAGGGCGGGGCACAAAGATCCAATTCGATTTTGAGCAACTATATTGTGAAAACCAAACCAATTATATCACAAAAAATAACAGAAACTAACAACTATCTGACTATGTTCAGTAAAACTTTCAGATAAATCTTCATTGTGAAAATATGTTTATTATTTTTAAATTTGTCACCTGGTTCTTCTTACCCCATAGACGTGGTGAAATGGGACGGCGAGGGGTAAACAATTCCAATGTCTTACTTTTAATTTTAAATGAATTTTTCGAAATAATTGCTACATTATTCAACCAATGCAAAATATACATATATTGCAAAATATATATTTCATGGGTACATTTTTCAAGGAAATAACACTGTATATAACCTTGATCTGGTATTTTGTCAAAATTATTCATCAGCAGGGTTGGAATAACTCAATTTATTCTTGTATAATTGCTTTTTCAACTTTACAATAAAAGTTCAGTTCTTTTTTACCCTATCAACGTGTAAGCTTTTATAGACGTTATATGGAAAAAATAACAATTCATTGTATAAAACAATTAAAAATGAACATTTAAAATTTATATTAAGGTCTCGAAAATTAAACAACAGTACTCACAACCAAAAAAACTAACAACGAAAAAAAAATCTTTTGTTATAGATTTACAAACATGGCCGTTTATCTCTCGATAGCAACGATGTAAAAATCAAGGTGATGGCTGGTTATATATTTTTTCCCTCATACTTTTAAATATCGTTATTAAAAAACATTCTTATTATTTTTGAGATTGATGGTGAACCTTTTTACCCGCGCACCCCTAAGCCCCGCTCTACCCTACTACGTTAAAAAAAAAAATTATCGCAGAAACTGTATTTGCATAACGTAAACAAACATTAAAAATGTTTTTTTATGAAAATAGAACAACACAATTCTTGATAAAACTTTTATAAACAAAATATGCATGAACTTATTTATTAAACTCACTTATAAAATGCACAAAAAATACCTTATAACAATTTCTTAAAAAAATGTAATTGAATGTTTTTAAACTCTTTTTCAAACGTTTTGTTCGTCTGGTGTCCAGAAGCGCACTGTGCAAACCACGTGTCGGCGCTAAGATAGGTGTGGGTTTTGATTATGGGCATCCGCGAACATGACGCAGCAAATGTTCTGTATAATCATGCTGATGTTTGGAATTTGTATATTTTTATAAATTTGCGATGACTTTTATTTTTGATCCGCTAAAACATTGATTTAATCTCATATTTGTGTCGCGGTATAATTATTGATAGATTGTATATAATTGATGATTAAGGATACGCGCCGCATACAAAGTTAATGTGTATGAAAAACATTAACTAACACACCTATGTGACGAATGTATGTAACAAAATGTTTAACTTTATGAAGAAGTTTGTTTTCATAAAAAAATCCGATTTGCTAATTTAATGTTTTCTCGATATTTCGAGCCATTCTGAATCTATTGACAAAATAAAACTGAATCAAATAAGACGAAATTTGGACTAGCTGTAAGTGGAATTCTGTCTTAAGGCAATTAGGGCATCGTGCCTTAAGGCAAATTGCTGGAACTTCCCGTACCAAAAATTATTATTTTTTTTTAAAAACGATTAACATTTTTGAAAAAAATTTACTTTGAAAAAATGAGATTTTTGAGAAACTATAAATTTGACAAAAAATTACTTTTTTTTGAAAAAAAAAAATTTTTTTTTAAAAATTTTTTTAAAATTTTTTTTTTGAAAAAAAATTTTTTTTCTTTATTTTGACATATTGTGGAAGATCTGAACTTTCTTTTCAAATCAATCGTACTGCTTTAACTGCATAGGGACAAAATATAAAGCGCGTAAGCGCCGCGTCGCTGTCTAACGCATGAGCATTGGTACGGAACCCATAGGAATGTTAACAAAATGTATAATTATTGTTAAAATCTCCATAAAATATCTGATAATTTGATGTGCATATGTCTAATGATCATTTTTGACCGCCAAATGGCCCATTTTTTTACTTTTTCCTCTATATCTCCGAAACCGCTAGACCTACCTTCATGAAAATTTTATCGATTCTTCATCTTGTCAATACAAGTGAAATGTTTTTTGAATTATTCAAATCGGACGCTCCTTTCTCTTAAAAGCTGAGGTACCGTTTTTGGCACTTTTTGCCCCATATCTTCGGAACGGCTAGACCTGCCTTTGCCAAAAACTAATCAGCACGTCTCCTTATCAATACGAATCGAATGTTTTTTAAATTATTCAAATCGGTTGATCCGTGTTCCCGAAATCGTCGACGAAAATTTGTATCCGCACATACATACACACACATACATACATACACACACACATACACACACACACACACACACACATACATCCATTTTTTCTAAGGTATGCCAAAATGTTCAGAAACCTCTGAAATGTAAAGATATATAAAAATTTTCATTTTTGATTTTTTTGCGATTACTATAACTTGCCCTACGGGAAGTTAAAAAAGTATGTGTGTGTAAACATATTATTGACCTTTTGTCGAAATTTTTCTCCAAAACGGCTGGACCGGTTTCAAAAATTTATAAGCTCTTCGATGTAACTCGATATAAACTACAACAAACTTAGCGTTTGTCAGTTTTGCGCGACTAAAAATTCATCGAAGCAAGAAAAAATATTATAGTCAAAATTTGCGTTAAAAGTTGCTTTTGTAATGTGATAAGTCAAACATTGTCAATCCATTACAATTTGGAATAATAAGCTACAAATTCAGGACTTACAAGCACTTGTCTGTGCAACATAATTAATATAATTGCAGGAAATTTAAATGTGTTTGAGAAAATTCAATTAAAAATTGCAATATTTAGATTTAATTGAAAGCGAAAACTTTACTTTTGAAATAAACAGTTGAAGGATTTATTTAAATATCTAAATCTCAATTTGGGTTGATTAAGCCAATTATTACACATTTCAAGAAGTTCATGCAACTTGCCTTAAGTTAAAATGCCACTCTAAACCAGTTAAAAATTGTATTTATTGTCGACGTTCGTTCCAAAACATGTTCATAGTCAGAAAAAAAGCGAAATAAAATGATATATTATCTTAAAAAATATTAAAATTAAAGCATAGGTTGAAAAAAATCTGATAAAAATACATAAAAATTCAAAAATCAACGAATTCATATAAATAGACTAAATATAGATCCACACATATATATATATATATATATATATATATATATATTATATATATATATATTATATATATATATATATAATATATATATTTCAAACAAAAAAGTGTATGAATGTCTAAAAAAATGCATTTGTTTTTAATAGTTCCTGAAGTAGAGGACATTCCACATAAAAATAATTATAAATGTAAAATAAATAATTTTATTAACAAAAAATGGAGTTCACAAAAATAATTTGTAATGCGATAACGAGATATGTTAAATGATGATAAAATATTCTTACAATAAATATAAAATAAGTTTGCAAAAGCAATGTATGAAAAACAAAACCAATTTTGTTATGATAAAACAAACAATTCTAACAATACTATTTTACAAAGGTAAACAAAAGACGCAAGCATGTGGTTTTTGGATATTGATAAAAATTTAAAATAAAGTTATTTGTTATCTAAGCAATGTAAAACTACCGAATAATTGGACAAACTATAAGTTTATGTGTTGTATTTTTGGATATTTTTCCTTGCACTAAAATTATTCGATTTGGATGTTTTATTCGTTCTTCTCAGTTCGTATCGATTGTATTTAATTCTTTTGACTTTGATGAAAGACATCGAGTATTTTGCATACGAATATCGAATTATAATATGTTTTTATTTAATAATCGTTTTTGTAATAAATTTGTTTTGTACCAGTATTTGAAAACATTTAATATTAATATATAATTACTTTTATTGACCTTAATGTTTGTATTATTTTTTACCCTTTTAAAAACAATCTACCAGTAACTCGGTGCAGCATTCCAACGAAAATCTTCTACAAACTTGATATTGTTGGAAACGTTATGCAATTTGATGCGAATTTGTGGTGATTGAAGATCATACATTTGCAATAATATCTAAATTTATTTTCGCTCAAGTGAAAATCGCCTCTCGTGGGTATAGTTGCAAATATAATAAAAATGTCAGCAAATACTTCGAGTATAGATAATTAGTCATAACTGGACTAGACAACTACTGGGTTGACATCCATTCAAGATCCATATAATAAAAAAAAAGCCAAAACAATTACTGAATGTCCTAAGTGTGACAGATTGAAATTAAAAATATATAAAAAAATATAAAAAAAAATATTTTCGGCAGAATGTTAAAGTTTAAAACAAATTCCACAAAGCAGAGCGAGTTGATTCCAGTATCGTTGTAATTAATTAGCATCATGACAATTTTTTTTATCATTCTACGGAGAAGTGTAATATACAGTTTTTAATGTCTCTGCCTTTTTTGATAAAAAAAAGTTTTACCGTATTTAGAAAAAGGATTGAAAAAAGAACACTGTCTTATCACTGCATAATTTTTTTCTTAACCCCTTCGCTTACCAGCTAATATCCAAATTTACGGGCCCAAAGCGACACTAAAGGTCGGTCGCACGCAGTGACATAAACAACTCTGCTCAGCGTTCGAAACTGAAGAAATCACAAAAATCCTATTATATATAGTTTCTATATGCACGTGTGCGGTACAATTAACTTTGCAAGATGTTTGATAAATAATTACGTTGATTCTTGAATAAAAATAAAAATTTATTATTCAAAATATATAAATTTATACATATAATTATAAATTTATATATTTGTGCGAAACGTACAATATCATTACCACTGTTAGTACTACTGGTAGCAAAGTCATCACTGCTTTGTAATCATCACTAATTTTGTTAAGACATTATAATGGGTATTTTTTTAAAACTTCTTACACACGATGTATGTATATGTCTCACCAAGTTTCGGAAATGTTTTATTTATGTTTCGTCCGGTACACTAACGACGACTCTAAGGCGTCCTATTCGTGTTTGGGCCGATAACCTTGCGACGCCTCTGAGGCGAAGTCTTTGTAAGCGAAGGGGTTAAGAATGAGCAACCTTTTCAACTCGCGGGCCGTATTTAATTTTTAAAATTTAATGGCGGGCCGCACTTATTAAATAACAAAGGACCACAAAATGAAAAAAGTTGTCTGTATTCTGTGTGCGGAATATGTTTTTGAATATAGCTTTTACCGCTGAACTCGAATCTATAGTCAAAATTGGGGGAGGGTCAATTGGCAAAAATTTAAAAATCTTTAACCCTCCGTCGGTCGGCGTGGTCTGGCCAGACTTTTTTCGACTTCAATTAAAAATAAAAAATACTTCTAGTAATCCTATCGACTTGAAATTTCTTGACTTTTCCTAAAATTTCATTAGCTGTCGATCAATGAAAAAATCAGGACGAAAAAATGTACAGAAGGATAATTATAAGGATATTAACTTTTTTATACTTCGAACGGTCGGAAAGGTCTGTCCAGACCACCTATACATTTTGTATGAAATATACGCTTTTTGATACATGTAAACCAGTATTTTGTCTTTTTTCATGGTATTTTCTATTCAAACTGCGTTGTTTATATTCTTTGCTATGTGTTCTAACATGAATGTTAGTATTTTCATGATGAGAGTTCCTTGAAAACCTACCAAACTTATTGGTAATCGCAAACACTGAAAATCGGATGAGTAATGCACACATTCATTTGAAAGGCGCCGAAAAAGAATAAATATTGTTTTTCATTGATTTAAAAGAGAAAAATTAACAAAAAAAAGCAACTATTTTTTTATATTTATTGTTTTTTTTATATAATCGTTAATACATAAGACACCAAAAACTCATTTATCCTATATAAATGCATGTAAAATGAATGGTGGTCCAGCCAGACCTTTCCGACCGTTCGAAGGTGAAAAAATATCCGACCGACGGAGGGTTAAAAGAACGATAAAATCTCCGATCTATTAATTCTTCTGCAAAATACCTAAAATCTTATAATTTTTGTCGTTTCCTCGTGCATTCTACCTTAAATTACTTTGAGTATTCACAGTAGGATACAGCATACAGCAGTATTCTGCCAAAAAAAACTAAATAGATTATTTAATTGAAACTTATTAGTCATTTAAGATAAAAAAAAGCCGAGAAACGACAGAAATTATAAGATTTGGATTATTATAATCAGAATAATCACTAGATCAGGAAATTTACCGTTTTTTAAAAATTTTTCAAATGTGTGTTTAAAAGTGCGTGTGTATGTGTGCGAGTGAATGACATAAGGGGTTAGGGGTACTTGCAGGCACGAAAAAATGAGTGTTTTCAGTATTTTGTTTTTGTTATTAAATGATGTTTTTCTACAAAAATATTAATACAGCATTATTATACAATGTTTTAACTTGATGTAACAAAAATTTCAGAAAAAAAAATCAATATTCCCAAAGTTATAGCTGTTTTTGTTGACCCTGTTTCGAAAAACGGTCCTGGCGGTGACCATCATAACTCCTTGGAGATTCGTCTAAAATCAATCAAATTAAAAAAATAGTTTTATGAATAGTTAATCCCGGGCCGGATTGAAGGTTTTCTTTTTTTTTGCAAAAATTAACAAAATGGCAGCATCAGAAAGAACAAATCTAGATTTTGGGGTAAAAAATCAACAGTTAATTGGTCTTAAAAAATTCAAATTTTTGAAAAAATAAAAATCCTTCGATCAGGCACGAGTTTATTATGTATTCTAAAAGCTGTATAAATTTCATTAAAATTTACTAAGTGGTTTTCGAGTTACAGTGGTCACCGTTTCAAAAAACATAGTTTTGAGAAAAACGCGTTTAAAGTTTCACATTGGATTTACGTACAGAAATTCGAATTATTGAATTACTTAAATTGAGTCATCTATATCTGGGCCATATAATAGTTTATCAGTCATTGTGCAAGTTTCCAAAATTTCCATTTGCTGTTGCCTACAAAGCATTCTGGCCTCCTGTGTGTTCTCGTTGGCGCGCTGATCTGCCACTTTCACACGTGCAGCATCCAATTTTTCAGCATACCAATGGGAATTATACCCACAATTAGGTTCTAGGGTATCCATAATCAATAATAATAATTATGTATGTGCATTCAGCAATTTGTACGATAGTAAAACTAGTATTCACTAGTTTCTAGGTATATTTTTTACACTAGTTGGTTGAAGCTTTTAATTTTTTCTGATTATGGATTTAATCTTGAACTACACATCTTGAAAGTAAATTATCATTGTTGAGATTGTCGTAAATCGGTTTGAAAGCGTTTAAAACATCAGGAGGTGAGGGAGAATGATCTTGAGTATAAGTATCGAGCTCTCCACTTGCGTCAACGCGCTGGTAAGAGTCCAATAACTCAAAAAGTAATCATCGGATCAACTTGAAATTTTCAGAGAATAATATAATATAAATATAAAAATCGATTTTTCAAAAATCCCAAGTACCCCTAACCCCATAAGCCAAAAGGCTCATAGAGTTGTCATGTATTCTGATTGCTATTGAAAATAAAATTGAAAAAAAAACATGTTGAACGGTAAAAACTACTTTGGAAAACATATGCTGCACACCCAATACAGACAACTTTTTTCATTTTGTGGATTAGTGTAATATACAAAACTTGATATATACTAATGATAAAAATACTATATTGTATAAATAATAATATAAAAATACTAAATTAAAGAAGTAAATATTTCATAAATTAATGGAACAAAAAAAAGAACTATAATAAAATTATACTTTAAAAAAATATTTAACGCTAGAGCTATATCCGCACGCCTTCGAGGCGGTGAAGTCAAGAATCAATAATGATGATACTTTTGTTATGAAAATTTAAAAAAAAAAAAATAATAATAAAAAGACTATTTGCCACTAAACCAGCGTTTTATATTTTCTAAATTAACCTTTGATGGTATCACAAAGTATACAATGACAAAAAACGGAAAAAATCACTGGTTAAGTTGTAAAATGCATTAATTAGAGGGCACGCCTAGGTAGCGTATAGATACCATTACCGCTCTAAAAAGCACAATACCGTTCTGGGGTTAAAAATCTGCATAAAGCCCGCGGGCCGCAGTTTGCTCAGCTTTGATCTATTCTATTCAACAGTTTTAATGCAAACTGAGTCATTATGTATACAAACAACCAGGTGCCTCAGAGGAGACAAACGAGCTTACAGACGGATTTAGGTTGTTTCCTCCTCAGAGAGACAGCCGTCCGGAAAGGGTTGATAATGAAATTATCACCGAATAAATAATCACATTATTGTTCCTTTTTTGCATCTTAAGAATTGAGATATCTCATTATAATCCAAGTTTTATACCATATACTATCATTTACTAATAGTAATTTATATAGTAATTTACTATATAAGTAAGAATTACCAGAAGCAATATTGTGTGTTGACACGAGTACCATAACATTAAGCATAAAAATGAATGAGATTGAATTTTTGTACTACCTGTTCTGAAATTAATTGAAGGTTGTAAACAAAATCTATAGCAGTCGTTAGTTCGTTTGTCTGTCCATCTATCCATATTCAATTTGTCCTCCATCTACGACCTCGTGTCTCTTAAACTCCTGTTTGGCAACCTTTTGTCCCTTGGCAACACTTTCAAGACATTTTTATAAAAGATTAAAACAAATGCATTTTCACAATTATGCCTGTAATTAGAGAAATTCGTATTAAAATGCCATTTTATTATATAAAATTAATAGTCTATTATTTTGTATTTGAGCACTAGAAATATAAACCGAATGAGCATATATATAATATATAAATTTCTCCAATTTCTTCGATTTCTATATATATATATATATATATAATTCAAAAAATAATAATAAAATTAAAAATAAAATAATAAAATCTAACAAAAAATATCAGCATATCAAAAAATGTTTGAATTGTTTTTTCGTAAAAACAAAACTTGTTAAATTAATAATGGAATTAACTTCGAATAAATTATCACACTCTTGCTTCATTTATGCAATTTGAAAATTGAAACTTAATATTATAATCCTTGTTTCATACCTTGAATTATTTAATTCAATCATTTCCAATTTTATTAATTTATATATATATATATATATATATATATATATATATATGTGTGTGTGTGTGTGTGTGTGTTATTACGTTTATTAATTGCTTAGATATTAATTAAATAACCATATAAATTGTTACAAAACCTGTAAATATTAGTTTATCAATTTTCATTAAATCTTACATAGTTCATACAAGTTTATATTGTAACAAAATATGCTCTAAAATTTTCTTTTTAAAATATAAAACAATAATAAGCCAAATAATAATAAATCATAATGAATGGCCGCAATTTGAGGAAAATAGAGTGATGCCTTCCAAAATTAATAGTAATATAATTATAATAATTAGTTATTATAATTGCAGAAATATTATTATAATTGTAGTAATTAATTATTATAATTTATATAAAAAATTCTTAAAATACCTGCTGTAACATGAGATTCCTAAATCCAAATCCTTAGTGAACAATCCGAGAAATCGAAGCACATAATGTTCATAATATGGCGTCTATTTGCTGCAGTAAATGCCATTTACAATATTTTTCTTAAAATGTCTACTGTTATCAAATTCCGAAGACCTAATCCTAAGTGAAGAATCCAAAAAATCGAATTGTAGTATTTTACTAACATGGCGTCTATTAGCCCCAGTAGATGTCATTTGCTATTGAAATAGATTTTTTGTCTATTCACAAAATTATAGTCAACGCAATTCAAATATTTTTCTTAAAATACCTACTGTAATATCAAATTACAAAATCTTAATCTTATGTAAAGAATCTGAAAAATCAGAGCACATCATGTTTATAACTTGGCGTCTATTTACTGCAGTAAATGTCAATTACAATTGAAATTCATTTCTTGTAAATTAACAAAATCATAGACAGGAGTTCCAAAGATACACACAAGAAAAATGATTTTTATATTGTCTCTTAGATCACAATTCAAGTAATATTTTTCTTAATACCTACTGTAACATCAAATTCCAAAATTTAATCCTAAGTGAATAATCGGAGCACAGCGTGTTACTAACATGGCGTCTATTTGCTGCAGTAAATGCTATTTGCAGTTGAAATTCATTTCTTGTCAATTAAAATTATGATCGGAAGTTCCAAACATACACAAGAGAACAAATATTTTTATGTTGTCTATTAAATCGTAATTTAAATAATATTTTTCTTAAAATACTTACTGTAACATCAAATTCCAAAATCCTGATCCTAAATAAATAATCTGAGAAATCGGTTAGTAACATGGCGTCTATTTGCTACAGTAAATGTCATTTGCAGTTGAAATTCATTTATTGTCAATTAACAAAATTATAGCCAGATGTTCCAAAGATACACGCAATAAAAAATATTTTTATATTGTCTATTAGATCACAATTGAAGTAATATTTTTCTTAAAATACCTACTGTAACATCAAATTCCAAAATCCTGATCCTAAATGAAGAATCTGAGAAATCGGAGCGCGGCATGTTACGTAACATAGCGTCTATTTGCTGCAGTAAATGCCATTTGCAGTTGAAATTCATTTCTTCTTAATTTAAATAGCATTATGATGCTATTAAATTGAATTGATAATTTCTTGCATTTTATTTTCGATCGTGCACACGAACCACTCTTATTATTCATCAATGTTTACTTGTCACTAGCAAAAAACGGAATGATATCAAAATTATTTTTTTGGCCTAAAGTAAATTTACCATAGATAGTTTAGACCAAACGTAGATGTGCATCAAAATAATCTAAAGCGACACAGGTGGTCAATATATGAAACAAAAATTCAGGTAAACTAGTGTTGCCAAGTGTGACATTAAATTGGCTATGAGAAATAAGTCACTACCACTCGAAGTACAATTTCATGTTATTACTTTTATTGATATTACTGTTGATGAAAATTAGTAGCGAAGGTCGTTAACGCGTTGACTTTGTATGGATAGGGTGGCGCGTTCGATTCCCCGCTCTGGCGATTTGATATCGGGCAGCGCGATGTCCATTTTCAATTGAAAATGTAGATCGAAATATGTTTCAAATTCAAAATAGGCCCATCTCGGGCACTACGGTGTGAAATGGAAATGGGAAAAACTCTCACACTACTTCTTCCCTGAATCGAGTTTGAGTTTAACTCAGCTCACAGACCTGCCCTAGGGCTACTATCTAATATTTTTATTGTTATAGAGTTAAATTTCTACTTGAAGTATATTTCATGGTATTACCTTTATTGATATAGAAGTAAATATATAAATATATAAGTAGCAAATATTATATTTTTCATAGATGCAGGGCTGTGCAATGCGTGCACCGCGGCCAAATCAAAAAAGAACAAATCAAAAGGCGGCCATAACAAAAAGCGGTCGTATTATTAAAAGTCCACTGAATTAAAATACGGCCAAATTAAAAGACCGCTGGATTAAAAGGCGGCCAAACTTTACGGCCATAGTAAAAATCGGCCGAAGGCGGCCGTATTAAAATCTAATCTTTGTAATGGCTTTTGAATTTTCAAAATCGATTCACGAATGTAGGCTATAACTCGGACGAAAAATTTGACACTCTTTTGATAATTCTAAAGAAACGGCTCGGCCAAACGTGAGGCAAAATTAACCACCAGCACGAGTGCTTATCGAATTTCAACGATTTTCCAAATCAGATTGCGCATTTTTTAAGAAAAAGTTGGTCAAAGATGAAATTTTGACTCACGTAAAACAAACAGCGCTGCTTATTTTTACAAGCTTTGATAATATTTTTTTTTTTTTTTTTATTTTTCTTATAAATTACAATCTGTCTAAATAAAAAGACATTGAGTAATTATTTTGACAAATAACATTAAATTATAAAAGGAAAACCCAGTGGTTCACCTTTTATTAGTGTACTAAATTATATTATAATTTTGGTATAATAAAGAAAAAAGAAACTCAAATAAACATACAATTATAAACAAAGTAAAAAACAAAACAAAACACACACCTATTTTAAATAATATTGTAGAACAACTTATTACTGGTTAATATGTTAGATTTATTAATTGTGTTCTTTTTAATCTTATATTGTGTGTGGTATTGTAGAGACTTGCAATCAGTTCGTTTGAATGGTGGTCAGCTTTGGTCTTGAAGTTATGGGCACTCTTTCTAATTTCTTCACTGATTGTCAGTGTATCCGTGTCTTGGTGAATTAGCCACGTCGGTACATACCTTGGCGCGGATATTGCTTGTCTAAGTATTTTATTTTGAAAACGTTGCATTATTTGCAAGTTACTGACTTTAGCAGCACCCCATAGATGGATGCCATACATCCAAACTGGTTTCAGAATAATTTTGTATAATAAAATTTTATTGTACATCGACAGTTTTGATCTACTACTGAGGAGCCAATACATCGACCTTCGAAGGTGTTCTAGATGTTCACGCTTTTTTTGAATGTGGATTTTCCAGTTCAATTTTTTGTCCAGATACATACCCAAATACCTTACGTGATCTTGGCTTGGAATTTGTTCGTTATAAATTGCGACAGGTGGGCATGTATCTTTCCTAAGAGTAAACGTAATGTGAACAGATTTTGAATTATTAATTGTGAATCTCCATAAAGTAAACCATTTTTCAATTATATCAAGGTGTGACTGCAGCTGTGTTGAAACCGTAACAGGATTTTGATTTCGGGTTATAATGCATGTGTCGTCCGCGAATAAAGCCAGATTAGTATTGGTAAATTGAGGAAAATCAGCAGTGTATAGTAAAAACAGCATAGGGCCTAGGACACTTCCTTGTGGGACTCCCGCGTTCACTTCTCTTAATTCTGACTGCGTGCCACTTATATAAACATAAAACTTTCGTTCGCAAAGATATGATTGTAGTAGTGAGTAAGTTGAATAAGGTAAATTTATTTTAATTTTATACAAGAGACCTTTGTGCCAGACTTTGTCAAACGCCTGAGACACGTCAAGAAATACTGCAGAACAGTACTCCTTACAGTGTAAGGCAGCGTTGATGATGTTAACAACTCGATGGACTTGCTGTAAAGTCGAATGGTTTGCCCGAAAACCAAATTGATAATTTGGAATTATATCATTGGAAATTATATGATGATTTATTCGACTCAGAAGCAATTTTTCGAAAATTTTTGATATAATCGGCAATAAACTGATAGGTCGATATGATGGTGCTAGGTGTTGGTCTTTTCCAGGCTTCAGTATTAGTACGATTTTTGCAATTTTCCATGCTGTAGGAAACTTGCGGATCCTCAGTATTGCATTAAAGATGATGGTAATGAATCTGAATATAATGGCGGGCGATTCTTTTAGCATTTTCATAGATACTTTGTCATGGCCAGGAGATTTACCAGTTTTGGCTTTGTTGATTTGATGTTTTACTTCTGATAATGAAATTTTTATGATTGAATCTTCGTATCGAGGTTCATTCTGTAGATACTGGTGGATAAAATATTCAGCATCGTCTGTACAATTTTGAGGAGCTGGATGAAAAGAATTAAATAGATGATCCGCAAAGATTTGTGATTTCTCTATTGGGTTTCTAGCCCAGGATTGATCTGATTTCCTTATAGGTGGAATTTGTCTTATTGGATTTTTGATTTTTCTAGTAGCCTTCCATAATGAGTAGTTGGTATCCTGATTTGGAGTAAGATTGTTCAAGTAATTATCGAATGATTCATTTTTGTGCTGAAAAATTAGTGCCTTTAGGTCTTTGCAAGCTTTATTATACCTTTTTTTATCTTCCGGTGAGCGGGTTAATTGCCAAGCTTTACGCAATTTTCTTTTAATTGCAATGTTTTGTTTAATATTTATAGGACACAATGATTTTCGATTGCCTGCGAACTTGGGAGTGGAATTTTTAGCCGCATCTTGAAATATACTGGTTAGATTGTTTATTGCATTGTTGATATCATGTTCATGTTTGAGAGGAATGTTACAGTTCACTTTGCTTTCAATTATATTTCTAAAAGCAATCCAGTTTGTCAAATAATTTGTTAGATGGTGATCACTTAAGCCAGACTTTAAAACTGTTGAATAATTCAATATTACTGGGGAGTGATCAGAAGTTAAATCCAGACAAGATTCAATTCTCAGTAAATCTTCATTAATATTTTTAACTACAAAAAAAGTCTAAAAGGTCTGGTAATTTACTCAAGTCACTTGGCCAATATGTCGGTTCCCCAGTTGAAATAGAATTATAGTTATTTGAGTCGATTGATTTAAGCAGTTCACGACCACGTGGCGTAATTAACCTCGAGCCCCAAGAAGTGTGTTTGGCATTGTAATCACCTCCTGCTATAAATTTATTACCCAATTTACTGAAAAAGTCTGAAAATTGATTTTTTGAAATAATATGCTTCGGAGGACAGTAGAGAGCTGAAACTGTGACCGCGCACAATGATAAGTCAATGCTAACACATGTTGCTTGCAAATAATTTTCACAGATTGGTTCTAGCTCATAATGACGAATATTAGATCTTATTATTATTGCCGATCCACCGTATGCTGTTCCATCTGGGTGTTCAGAGCTATAGATAGTAAAGTTAGGTATTCTTAAATGACATTTTTCTTTTAAATGAGTTTCTGATATTAGTAGCATATCGATTGAATTGTGTGATAGAAAATATTTAAGTTCTTGTATGTGTTGATACAAGCCATTGGCGTTCCATAAACAAATTTTCAGTGATGTAGCCATTACTTATTTTTTGAAAGGATGGTTGTTAATAGATTGAGGATTATACTTATTTGTTCTGTTAATGTTTTGATCATTTGTTTTAGTTCTGAAATGTCGTTGTTATTGTTGTTGTTGTTGGTATTGTTGTTCGTTACATTGGCGTTATCCGTTGAAGTTTGATTTGTATCCGTATTTTGGCGAGTTGCGTAAGCGAAGCTCTTTCCTGGTTGCACTAAATTATTTTCTTGCCTTTGTGAAATTTTGCGACGAAGAATTGGAAATTTCCTTTCAAGTTGCTCTTGGTAGACTCTGCATCCTTTGTAATTGGCTGGATGATTTCCGTCTGTGCATAAAACACATTTAACATTTTTATTAATTTTATCTTCCCAGGAACAATCTTTGGTTAAATGATTTCCTGCACACTTTACACATCTAGGCAATCTAAAACAATAGTTTTTGGAATGTCCTAGACGTTGACAGTTCGAACACTGTAGTATTTCACGGGCAAAGTGTCTTGGCTCAATCTCAACACTGGTATTGTAGAGGAAATTAATTTTGTAAAAGTCTGTATTGTTTGGCTTCTGCTCTAAATCTATTGAAAACATATTAAGCGGGTATTTTGTGTACCTACTTTTTATATTTGAGATATTTATTACCGTATGTCCTAGTTTCTCAATTTCAGTTTTTAACATTTCCGTATCTGTGCTATGGTGCAAGTTTTTAACAACGACTTTCAGTGGCCTTTTAGTTCGGTTTTGAAAAGAATGCATTTGGGTATTTCTGATTTTTAGTAGTTTTAAGATCTTGTTATAAGTTTCTGCATTTTCTAAAGTTAATTTCACTTGTGTCGCATTTATAATTTTAATTTTATGTAAATTTTTGGCTTCAGTATCAAGCAGTTGAGTAAGGGGCTTGATATCGCGAACTTCATGGATAAAAATTGGTGGTGGTCTTATTACATTAGTAGTATTTTGTATGTTCGCAGT